AGAAATGTCTCTAATGTTGGCCTATGGATCTAAGATTGGGCCCATCGCTAAAAATATGCTATTTATCAATTTTATCTAGATGAACGCGTTATTCGGACGTTACTAATGGATATTTTTGGTTGTTATTGAAAATTTAGTCGATTGCTGAATTTATGTATGGGCCCAAATTAGGGACACTTAGGCCGACATTACCTGCATTTCCCCTATTAATACTACTGCTAAGCGCCGACAGTTAAAAAAAACATAACCTTTCCGTGACAATGATTGACAAGGCAATCACTGCCGTGACCAGGATTCGAACCTGGGTTACTACGGCCACAACGTAGGGTCCTGACCACTAGACGATCACGGCTATCGAACAGTTGTAAAAAACTAAGTATTGAAACGCCAATGTATCCTACCGATTCTATTTATAGCTCATCTATTGTGTAATGTTGCGAAATTCATTTAATAACATTCCCATCGGTATGTCGGTAAAGAAGATAGTAGTAACATGGCAAACAGCACTTTCGTTTCTATTTATAGCTCATCTATTGTGTCATATTATTTTTTGAGAATTTCTTTCAGTGCACCAGTAGCCTACACAGTAACAAAACGACACATCCTCATCCTCTTCTAAGATTATCCACAAATCTACACCTGAAAATCATCCCAGAAAATCTTTGTTCCATTCCAATGGTTCCTTTTTCCATCTCAACGCATCCCACTCTGTATACGTATAATCCTTATTTATTCTTAACCTTCTATCCTTTCATCACCCACATTTTGTCAGAGATTCAAAGCTTCTATGAGTTGAGATCTAGATCCATCTTAAGAAGTGATGTCTCCCCACAACATTGACTCTCATTCGTAAATATTCATAGTTCTCTCATCTATTGTGCCATGTTGTGAAATTATGTTCTACTATCGTCCTAAAAATCTCCCTCCAGGACAAGGATAATCATTGCCGTGACCAGGATTCGAACCTGGGTTACTACGGCCACAACGTAGGGTCGACGATCACGACTATTGAGGAGTTGTGAGAGACTTAGTATATAAACGCGAATGTCCGTTTGAATTTATAGCTCGACTATTGGGTCATTTGTGAAAAAAATATTACAGTCACAAACAATGTCGGCTAAGTGTCCCTAATATTGGGCCCATATATAAATTTAGAAGGAAATTATTTATTTTTTTCACTAGCAATGTAATACAAAACGACTGTTGGAAACAATCCACTTTTCCGTGAATCAATACTTTTGTACAAAACCTTCACAAGATGATTTTATACGTACAATGCATTGGTGGATATCACAATGTTTATATTAATTGTATATCGTTAATATATATGTCTGTCGAAGCCTACAACATTACAGAATCTGTATATGTGCTCCTGTCATGGTCAGTGGTAGAGGCAACAATAGCTGCAATTTCAAACCCTATCGACGTCAGATGGCGACTTCAGTGTGAAACAACCGATAGAACTGCTTCCGCACATTGTAGGTACATGAACGAATCGGCTTTTGCTAGTGGTGGCGTGGGGCATCCCTCATCAAAGGATGAGTTTAGTAAAGGGGATACTCGACCCGATTCGTAACTTCCTCAAAATTGTCCTTTGTTCGCTTTCTACTTACTATATACAATTTTCCTACTGCCGTACTCTAACGGAACTATCAACTCTATACTTTCATCTCCTCATATATCGTATAAAATGTCCACTTTAAGTCTAATATTGACGTTAAGCATCTCAAACTAACTAGCCGGCGCCGGTGGTGTAGAGGTAAACGTGACGGCTTTCTCACCCCAATGGGTCTGGGTTCAATCCCAGCCGAGGTCGGTGGGATTTTTCTAAGGCATTAAAACCTCTGGTCACGTCTTCCCTAGGGGCACGCAATAACCTTTAACTCCAACGCAGGCAACGTCTGTAATTAAATTAATTCCATTAACTACTGCATTAATTACATTAATTACACAATGTAGAACATTAACCACTTTTTAACTCCATTAATTACAGTTGAAATTTCGTAATTAAAGTACATTAATTACATTTTCAATACTTTTAATTACATTAATTACGGATCGATAATTTTAATTACCGTCAGTACTAAAGGGTGATACGGTCAAAATTTGGTCAAGGGAAAACGCGTGTAAATCGGTGAAATCGTTTATTTAAAAAATCAAATTAAATTTCTTTTTCAAGTTCAATTAGTATAAAATTCAGGAAAAATATTCAGTTAGGCTTCCGCTTTTCCAAATCCGAATTGCCGGGCCTTACGCTTGACCCCTGCCATCAGATTTTGTACAGCCACCTTGTCCACCTTCTTCGCCGCAGAAAGCCAGTTTGCCTTGAACTGCTGCTCGCCCTTAGCAGTTTTTTTGGTCTTCTTTAGGTTCCGCTTGACAATAGCCCAGTATTTCTCAATTGGGCGGAGCTCTGGCGTGTTGGGAGGGTTCTTGTCCTTGGGAACCACCTGCACGTTGTTGGCGGCGTACCACTCCATGGCCTTTTTACCGTAATGGCAAGATGCCAAATCCGGCCAAAACAGTACGGAACAACCGTGTTTCTTCAGGAAAGGCAGCAGACGTTTATTCAAACACTCTTTCACGTAAATTTCTTGGTTGACAGTCCCGGAAGCTATGAAAATGCTGCTTTTCAAGCCACAGGTACAGATGGCTTGCCAAACCAGATATTTCTTTGCGAACTTTGACAGTTTCATGTGCTTGAAAACATCTGCTACCTTTCCCCTTCCTTTTGCCGTATAAAACTCCTGTCCCGGAAGCTGCTTGTAGTCGGCTTTGACGTAGGTTTCGTCGTCCATTACCACGCAGTCAAACTTCGTCAGCATCGTCGTGTACAGCCTCCGGGATCGCGCTTTGGCCGTCGTATTTTGTTTATCAGTCACTACCTTCTTGTAAGTCGATAGTCCGGCTCGTTTTTTGGCTCGATGCACGGTTGTAGACGATACACCCAGCTTATTTGCGGCATCTCGGAGAGAGAGGTTAGGGTTTCGCTTGAAACTACCGGCAACTCTCTTTGTCGCCTCAGCGGCTTCCGGTTTTCGATTTCCCCCCGATCCAGACTTCCTGGCTGTCGACAAACGTTCCCCAAACACTTTAATTACATTTGTAACGGTTGATTTGGCAACTTTTAGCGATTTTGCCAACTTTGCGTGCGAGTAGCTCGGATTTTCGCGATGCGCGAGCAAAATTTTGATACGCTGCTCTTCTTGCTTGGACGGCATTTTGACAACTGAAGAGTGAATTCCAAAATCAAAATAGGAGCAACATTCTACACACACACACCTTCAAAATGAGGGGTGTTCAGGTTTTTAAAATGCAAAATTGAAAGAAATACGTCAAGTTGATATTGACCAAATTTTGACGTATCACCCTTTACTTCAAAACGCATTAATTACTTTAAGAGCTTTTGATTACATTGTAACTTCAACGCACCGGTTCTTTGTATTGCGTGCCCCTCGCGTCTTCCTTCGGAAGGGAAGTAAAGCCGTTGGTCCCGGCCCATGTGTGCTGAGTGGGTGCGATATCCTACGCAGGTGTGGAAGCTGCCTTCCTGCACATTCGATTGCCGTCAATGGATGGCAATCAATGTCCGTCGGTGATTGGCACTAGATTGCGGAATATAGACCGACGTTAAATAAAGGAAAGAAGATCTCAAACTAAATTATGCGAAGTTTCATGGAGTTCTGAGAGGTAATCTTAAATATGTTTATTTTTTCACTATTTGGAATGGACCTGCTCAAATGAAATCTACACACACAAACTAGCTCGGTAAAATCTTCAACAGTCGATTACCTCGGCATTTACTTTTGCTGATATCTCTGCATAATATCTATTTGTTAGCTGATTTCTCAGTAAAATCTTATTTGTTGGCAATTGTTTTACTGAATCTCAGCCAAATAAAATGGGCCCTAATAAACAAATACCATAAACGAACTGTGTCCCGGATGGGTAAACTATCCCACAAATGGTTTGGATGATACCCCAAACACGTCGTTAAGCTCTCTTTTATGGTCATTTTTATTAGGGCTAGGCTTTGAAATCTCGGCAAAAAAATCAAGTGTGTTCGCAATACAAAATACGGTTGATTCCGGGTTGCCGATAATAGAACAGCTGGTTAACCCGCAGTTCAGATGGTTGCCGAAGAAAAATAGGTTGCCGACAATAGTCACACTCACCTGAGATGTTTGGAGCGTTGTAAAAACGGGTTTCAAACAGTTTTCGACAATTCTGTCGATTGGAGTTGACATAGCAGTAAGCAGCAAATAAATGAAAACAAATAAATACGTAATAGGGTTAACTACCCCATTTCCAGCCTATTAAGCACAACTCGCACTTAGTCTTTCTTAATCTAGCACAGTTTAGCACCAAACGGAATGTTATTATTACTGATGGCTTCCAAATTTATTTACCTTTCCGTACGTACCGTAAGATTTGATAAAGAGAAACCAATCGTTGAGATATTATCAAAAGTCTAACACTGTTTCTGGACGCCAAACTCGGCCTACGGATTCTAAAATCGGCCTAACACATTGAAACGCCAATGAATTCACTTCGGCCTATCGGATGAAGATAAAAATTGATTCGGTTGGAGCGCTTGTTTTGTTTTTGGGAAAAATGGGTGCAAACATTCATATCACGCGTTCTCATTGACTTCGTTCGGAAGCTTATAAACTAAAGTATCGTACCAAACGCATAATTGATTTGTTTACTCTGAAATCTTGGATTTATTTGAAGTTTTCTGCTCGATAGGCCCAAAATGGGCGATTAGGCCGAAGTAGTTCTCTGCCCTATGTGTGCGTAACGCTGAGAAAATGCTAATTGAAGCGCGGACACTGCTTAGATTGACTTAGTTTGAAATAGATAATAAATTCATTACATATTCAGCTTCATGATTCGATCTCTAGCGGTGGCACTTACCATGTTATTTCATCCATTAGTTTCTCTCTCTCTCTCTCTCCCTCTCGTGAAAATTAAAGTGTACACAATCTCTACCATTTCAGGTTATGGCGATCCTGACGGTAACTATCTACACCGTCCGACCGTTAGCGATTGAACATCCGCATAGCTTCTCGCTGTTCAAGCGTGGAGTTGTGCTTGGTGACTTGACGTACAGCTATGCCTCGACGGACATGGGATCCTCGAATGGAGGTCGCGTGAAAACTGTTACTGTCATCAAGAATGTGTCCATACCCAAACCCACCAGCACGATGTTCAGCGATCGCACAGAGCATTTCTTCGACGAGTTCGATATGACCGGACACAAAAAGCAGCAAGAACATGTTCAGTACTGGCCTTCAGATGATACGAACAAATTGAAGAAAATGGCTCTAAAGCCGCCATTGTTCAACATTCCAGAAATTAGGAAAACACCGCAGGAAGAATTCAAACATCCGGCGGATCTGCTGGAAATAGCCAAGAGTGCAGCCAAAACACAAAGCCAGATCTTGAAAAATCATAACCTGGCCAATGGCGATACCGGTCCCGTCATGTTTCCACCGGATGCCCAAATGATGAAGAAAAAGAATAACGGCGTCATCAGTGTAGCCAAAGAGTACACTAGCATTCTAACGAGCACTCCAAAAGATCGAAGTAAAGCTAAAACTGCCAGCAAACTAAGCACGAAAGTCGAACCTGCGAAAAACAAAGAAAAACAGCCCGACAGCTACAACACATTCGATCCCAGTTCCCTGTATCATCAGGACGATTTCGAACAAAGAGAATACGTATACTCGCCGGAATCCAAAACCTTCAGCTTCAAGCAAGCGTCGAAACCTTCAACCGAGCTGAAAGACAAACTCAAAAATACTCCGTATGCCTTCAAAGATCCTTCCGCACCGAGCACCATAGACTTTACGATGTACAGTGACAACTCAACGACTCCGGATCTGCTGTTCTCCGAACTAGCAAACGCCGTAGCTACTCGGAATGTTTCGATGATCAAATCATTGGCTCAACAGTTGGAAGAATCATCTTACGACGGCCCCAAGTTCGATTTCGAATCTCTAAAAACCGACGAATACATTCCGCTTTCGTTCAACTTCGACAGTCCTAGCGTTAAGAAAGATCCAATGCCCGAAACGACAACGATGGAGATGATGAAAATGGATATTTCGGATGATTTTAGCACGACGGTCGAACCACCCACCCCGACTACGAAAAAGCCATCCAAGTACATAGCACCGAGACTGAGAGGTTTCAAACGTTTCTCTTCGCGGAGGCAGTAAACTGAACCATTTTTCTTTAAATAGTTTGTCAAAAGATTAGTAATTTATTTTAAATATTCTTAGCCATAGACTGTATTGCACTGCTGTTGAGTTTTATTCTGTTGAAATAAACTGCTTTTTAGGTAGAGGCGTTCTTTGAATGATATCCGAACGTAACGAAGAAAATCTGCAGTTGAAACAACTTACGGTAGAATCCTTAATTTGTTCACTCTATCACTCGAAATCAAAATAACTGTAAAGGCTCGAAGTCCGGACACTTGATCCCACACTATGCTCAAAATAACACGTTAATTGTATCATGGTTTTTAACGTAGGATTACGTCTTTCGGCAACATATTGAGGGTGCAATTTCAAAAAACCAAAATTGACCGCATTACGAAAAGTGGTCAGGTTTTGACCACTTATAACTCTGTCAATAGCGGATGTATTTTAATTCTAAACAAGCCAATCAATTGGATTTTTTCCTACGAATCTGCTAAAATTAACACTATGAATTTTCAATAGGACACTATTGAACATTACACAAATGTCCAACTGTTGCAATGGTGATCAAAATTATCACCGAATGTCTGCAAAAAGCGCTATCCTCAACCCATTTCAAACTCGAATTCCATCTGGTCTCGTCGAACGGTGTTTATTCAATCATCGTGTGTTGTGGTGTCCGGTCGGCGGTCGGTCGTCATCATCATCATCAGCAGCAGCAGTGCTTTCGGCGCGTGGCTTGGAACATTGTTCTCCAGTACACAACGAAAGGCTGCCGCAAGCAGTGAGCTGCAGCCAACATGAGCGTCCATTCACCGAAGAAGGAGGAAGAAGCCGCACCGCTACTGATCGGAATCAGTTGCTCGTCGTGAGCCGCTGTAGGCCATCTATGCAAAGCGCGTCACTCTCGTTCCAAACAACATGCAGCTCGCCAGCCTCATCCGTGTTGAACACCCTTATAGCTCAGCATTAATCAACCATCACGACAAAACGGTTTAATTCAGGACCTCCATAAATTATTGTTGTTTTAGAGTTAATTTTTATTGTACGTTTGCTTGCCATGGCTGCCAGCCACATCAATCCCAAAGCTTTTTGATAATGTACCCAGAAACCAAACGTTTGTCGTCAAATGCGTAAAAGTATTGAAGTGGTACATACAAATTCTCGCAATGACCGAATACCACATGGCCATGTCAATTAACGAGAAAAATTTCGAATTAAGGCAAGGTTTTTTTTTCAGGACGTTAGAAAAGAGCAAAAAAAAACTCAAATTTATACGATTAATCGCTAATATCTCGCGATTGGAAAATTTTATCAAGAATTCCTCCAATCAATTTTCGCTTTTTTTATTATCTATTGATTAAACCAAAAATGCCGTGCGTTTTGTGCACGAAAATGTGTACTTTTGACGTAGGACTACGTCTGTGATTTCTATATGGGGGTACACTTTGTGAAAACAGAAAATGGAACATGTAACAAAATTATGAAATATTTTGAACGTTAATAACGGAGTGCCCCTGGACCAATTTCAATAATTTTATCACCAATCGATCATATTTCTACGCATCCGTTAAATTTAAGACTTAGTCATTTTTCAAAATGTCACTATTGAAAATTTCCCGGATGTGCAACTGTTGCTTTTATAATTAAAATAGCCTGCGAAAAAAAGCGATTTCCCTAACACAGATTTCAAAGTTGAATTCCATCCGGTCTCACCAAACGCTGGTTATTCAATCACCGCGTGGTGAGTAGGGGTGTTCTCCAGTACACAACGAAAGGCTCCCGCAAGCTGCTAACTACCAAAGCTGGCCTCAATCGCTGATCGGATTCAGTTTCAATCACCGTGTGTGGTGGGGTCCGGTCTTCATCATCAGTTGCAGCAACAGCACAGCTTTCGGCGCGTGGCGTTGAACATTATTCTCCAGTACGCAACGAAATGCTGCCTGCAGGCAGTGAGCTGCACCCCACGTAAGCATCGATTGAAAGAGGAAGAAGCCGCACCGCTATTGATCGGAATCAGTAGCTCTTCGTGAGTCGTTGTGGGCCATATATGTCAAGAACGACATACCACAGACAAACAGACGTAACTCTTTGAAAAAGTTTTTCTTGAAAACATAGTATCTCAAAATATAGGACCTCAGTAGTGACATCTTTCAGGCTTCTCGCGAAAAACAAGCTTGCTCGCTAACTCGCAAACAATATTGCATAAAAGTTCTATAGAATGTATAGAAACGTCAAAGTGATCCGATGCCAGCGCTGCGGCGAGTAGTTTGCGGAACTGATAATATTCAAATCAACCGTTAAATGCGTGAACGAAGATACACAATGAAGAGTTACGTCTGTTTGTCTGTGGTCATACTAAAGAGTATAATCAGAGAGAACCCTGCTCAAATTCCTGTTCCTACACAAAACACAAGCTCCAGTTGCTGCAGTTAACAATTAAGATTTATTATATAAGACCACGTAGTCCTACGTCACCATTGCGTACAACCCCATAGGGCTGTCCCTTGTTGTTTTTGTCATCATAAAACGAGGTGTTTCCGTGATGGGAAAAAGTGGATTCCCTAACACAGTCGCCGAATATTGATACCTAGCACGTAATCCTATGTCAAATCTACGGTCGTGTCTTGGATACAACCTCTTACTTTGTAGTATCATTACCCATACGTATTTATTAAGTTACAACGTTTTACGTCACAGACACAGTTGAATTCTCAAGAATATACACACCCAATGAGAACGACCCAAATTTGAGTTTAGTTTACTCATAAATCACAAAAAGTACAGGAACTCAGCGATGAGTAAATTTGCCTAATGTTTTTCCAGGATTGTCCAGAAAAAAAATTCCATAAATATGATAAAAGTAAATATTGGATTCGCTCAGTCTATTGGTCTCCGTCTGATCTGGTCTAGACTGAGTAAAATTTTCGTCAATTTTCCTCATTTTCTGGCAGATGTTATAGGTGTTACACAGAAAAATAGGAGGAAAATTTACTCATCGTTGAGTTCCTGTACTTTTTGCGATTATGAGTAAACTGAACCCAAAATCGGGTTGATCTCATTTGCCGTGTACAGCCGAAATTCGGTGGTTGGGCTTTTAATACATTGGGCTGCTTTCTTGTTGGGCCTCCGCTGGTTGGGCTATGACCCAATTAAAAAGCAACTATATGTCAAAATCTCATGTAAATTGCATTTGACAATCGAACATAAATATATGCGTCATATGCGTTTTGGACAGAGCATTACGTGTAATAATTGTAAACATTTGAAATTTGCTCGAAAATTTTAAGTTTTATTTTAAATTCTAAAATGAAACATATACTTAGAATTGTACTCATCATATGTTTTGTCAGTTTCAAGCAACTTGCTTCAATCCGCTCTGATTGAATCCGCTTTTAGTGAAATCTTCTCGACCACAACAAAGTATGCATACAACCCCCGACAAAATTTAGCCTTCTGTCAGTTGACCCAACTAACGAATCAAATTCGTTAGTTGGGTCGAGGTGGTGGCCCTACCAGCAAATTTTGACTGTATATGGGAGAGTATGGAAGTTTTATAGTCTACTATAAAAACTGAATCACCCCCATTTGACATTAGGCGTTTACCGATATGGCACATTATGGTGGCATCGTAGCAAACCTTGATTTCAAAATTTAAACTTTGATAACCGAGCTGTCATTTTTTTAGCAGTAAATTCGCGTTTTAGTTTTCCATTATTGGGAATATGGGTACAGCCATTCGTTTGCTATAAAAAGAATGCTTTTCAAAATTATGAAATCATTAGATGTTATGATGATTGTTTGTACTTGTAAGTAATAAGAAGAGGTTATAATGTATGTGTTTGATACATAAAACCGGCCAATTTCACATTTAGAGAGTCACAATCAGAGCTGGTAAATATCACGGCCGTGATGTGACGATGAGAAAACAGGTCCTCTCACTATCACGGGTTGAAACTACCTATCATTAGATTTCTTGTCATTTTTCAATGATCAAGCACTCATGAAAATAATTCTTATGCGGTTTTGACATCAACATTTCCAACTGATTTAGATGAATTTAATCAAAAAACCGTATGTAATCGGTAAAGTGAATATATTATGAAGATTTCCGCGGTACAAGTAACTTTAAAAGCATTAAATGAGCTAGTAATTACGATGATCACAACACTGTCACGTTCTGTCATGACGAAAAATTCGTTGAGATTTTGAAGAAAATCTCTATCATCGTTTTCTCATCCAAAGATAGTGACAGAAGTATCTCTGTAAATATCGCGTGAGATCTTTCATTGAAAATGAATTTTGCCAGCCCTGGTCACAATCAGTCATTTCATCGTCGATGCATATTCACTAGGGTACCAATGAAAATGGTCATATCAAATTTCAATAAGATACCCCCTACAAAATGTTTATTGCCTCGAAACACGACCCTATGCAAAATTTGAGCTCAATCGGACTTGATTTAGCGATGGCGCAGAGCGGTCCAAGTTTGACTTTTTCACTCTCGAAAATTTTCCAATTGCAGAAACAGATTTTTTTCGATGTAAAATAGCTTTAACATGACCTGTTGTTATCTCTTTTTTTTTTTTTTTTATAATTCGTTTATTTTTCCAGGCTCATTTGCTGTAGCTTTGCGGAGCCGATATTCATTGTTTAAATAACAAAATTACTTAAAACTAACGTTAGTAAAGCGGAGGCCGATTACTCGCGGCTATCTCGAGGTTAGGGGTAACAAATTGTAACAAATGGATGGCAGGGTAGGGATTGTGAACACAAGGTTTGGAGAGCAATGTGCTCTTGATCTCGAACTAGGCGACACTCTGATGAAAAAGACAAACATGGGGGTACACCGATGGGCAACTAACAACTTGGGAGAACACAAGATGACACTAACTACTAAATCCTCAAATCTATCCGTTTTAAAAACACATAAATTAAATTCAAATAGTCGAGGTCTCGGCTCGCCAAGACATCTCTAACGGGTATCGCGGGTTGTTTTCCTCGGGCCCTGACGGATATGGATAACTCAGATCTGGCAACACGGTGTAAGGTACATGACCAAACAACGTGCTCGATATCGTGATAACCACTGCCACACGCACATAAATTGCTGCCTGAGAGCCCAATTCGATAGAAATGCGAGTCTAACGAGCAGTGATTGGACATAAGCCTTGATATAACGCGTATAAAGTCGCGGCTCATGTCCAACCCTTTGAACCATGGCTTGTTCGACACCTGAGGGAGAATAGAATGTAACCATCTTCCCAATTCACCATCATTCCATTTTTGTTGCCAACTGATGAGGACTTGCTGACGAGCAATGGAGAAAAATTCGTTGAAGGCGATTTGTCGCTCAAAAATATCGCCTTCCATAGCGCCCACCTTAGCCAATGAGTCCGCTTTCTCATTACCCGGAATTGAGCAATGAGATGGGACCCAAGCTAAGGTGATAGTATAGGAGCAGTTAGATAAAGCACTCAGTTTAGATCGTATTTCAGGCAGGAAATACGAGGAGTGCTTCATCGGCCTCATTGAACGAATAGCCTCCAATGAGCTAAGACTATCCGTAAAAATAAAATAATGGTCAGACGGTAGTGAGGCGATTCGCTCTACTGCGTAAAATATAGCTGCGAGTTCCGCAACGTATACTGAGCATGGTTTCTGCAGTTTATAAGAGGCGCTATGAAATTGATTAAATACACCAAATCCAGTGGAAGCATTTATGGTTGACCCATCTGTGAAAAATCTTTTATCGTTACTTACATGGTGGTACTTGATTGCGAAAATTGAGGGAATAACCATCGACCGATGGTGATCTGGTATTCCATGGATTTCTTGCATCATGGTCAGATCAAAATTTACAGAGGAACTATAGAAGGCTTGAAAGCAATCACGATTGGAGATTAATGAAGAAGGACCAACCTCCAGCGTCATGTACTCATAGTACAAACTCATGAATCTTGTTTGAGGATTTCTGTCGAGTAGCTTCTCAAAATTTTCTATTACCAATGGGTTCATTACTTCACAACGGATAAGAAACCGGAAGGACAGTTCCGCGAAACGATCTGTCAGTGGGAGAACACCCGCGAGTACTTCGAGGCTCATCGTATGCGTCGAGTGCATACAGCCAAGCGCGATTCGGAGGCAACGGTATTGAACCCGTTGCAGCTTCAAGATATGTGTTTTTGCCGCGGATTGAAAGCAGAAGCTACCGTACTCTAGAACCGACAAGATGGTTGTTCGATACAACCTGATCAGATCTTCCGGGTGTGCTCCCCACCAAGTTCCAGTAATTGTACGAAGAAAATTAATTCTTTGCTGGCATTTTTGTTTCAGATACGCAATATGTTTTCCCCATGTGCATTTGGAATCGAACCAGACACCTAAATACTTAAAAGAAATACTTTGAGTGATTGTTTTACCCATTAGCTGAAGCTGTAACTGTGCAGGATGGTGCTTCCTAGAAAAAACAACCAACTCAGTTTTCTCCGGAGAGAATTCGATACCCAGCTTCAAAGCCCAAGTAGACAAGTTGTCTAAGGTATCTTGCAATGGTCCTTGCAGGTCCGGTGCACTTGGCCCTATAACAGACACAACGCCGTCATCTGCAAGCTGCCTTAGCGAGCAATTTTCATCAAGACAACCATCAATGTCTTTGACATAAAAATTATAAAGAAGGGGGCTTAAACATGAGCCCTGGGGGAGACCCATGTAACTAATTCGTGAAGTTGTCGAGTTTCCATGAGAAAAGCTCATATATTTCTCAGACAACAAGTGGCCCAAATAGTTGTTCATAATTGGTGAAAGCCCACTATCGTGGAGTTTATCCGAAAGGACATCGATACAAACAGAATCAAAAGCCCCCTTAATGTCCAAGAAAACTGAACCCATTTGCTGTTTTTGCGCATAGGCCAGTTGAATTTCAGTTGAAAGCAACGTAAGACAGTCGCTCGTTCCTTTGCCTCTCCGAAATCCAAATTGCGTATCTGAAAGTAAACCATTCGACTCGACCCATTTGTCTAGACGAAAAAGAATCATTTTCTCCAACAATTTCCGTATACAGGACAGCATCGCGATGGGACGGTACGAGTTATAATCCGACGCGGGTTTACCGGGTTTTCGAATGGCGATAACTCTTACTTGCCTCCAATCATCCGGAACAATGTTGTGCTCCAGAAATTGATTGAATAAGTTCAACAAGCGTCTCTTCGCGACGTCTGGGAGATTTTTGAGCAAGTTAAACTTGATTCTATCCATTCCTGGAGCTGAGTTGTTACATGAGAGGAGAGCAAGTGAGAATTCCACCATCGAAAACGGAGAATCTATTTCGTTATTACCCGACGGACGATCACGAACGTTGGTTTGAACCGGCACCGAATCCGGGCAAACTTTCCGCGCGAAGCTGAATATCCAACTGTCTGAGTACTCCTTGTCTTCGTTGACCGGTGATGACGCGTTTCGCATTCTCCTGCCGACATTCCAGAGTGTTCTCATGGAAGTCTCTCGCGACAAACCATCGACGAACCGACGCCAGTAACCGCGTTTCTTGGCTTTAATCAAGCCCTTGAAAGTTTTCTCGAGGTCGGTGTACCGCTCGAAATCCCCGACCTTACCGTGTTTCCGGAAGCGTTTAAACGCGGCGGACTTCTCGCTGTTCGCGTTGGTGCAATCCTTATCCCACCACGGAGTGAGAGGTCGTCTGCGAATGGAAACACCCGGAACGCGTTTCGTCTGTGCTTGAAGAGCGCAGTCAACGATAAGTCGCGATAAAAAGGAGTACTCATCCAGCGGAGGGAGTATCTCAACCGATTCAATACCACCGAGAACCGTGGCCGCAAATTTTTTCCAGTCGATGTTTTTCGTGAGGTCGTACGCGATGTCAACCGAGCGAGTGGAAGATGAACCATTGGTAATAGAAATTTTGATTGGCAAATGATCACTACCGTAGGGATCTTGGATTACTTTCCACGAGCAATCCAACGCTAGTGAACTCGAACAAAGTGAGAGGTCTAATCTGCTTACTCTTGCTGGAGGTTTGGCTACTCGTGTTGCTTCCCCGGTGTTCAGAATTGTCATTTTGAAGATGTCGCACATGTCGTATATCAAGGTTGAGCGGTTGTCGTCGTACAGTTCCCCCCAGCCTGTACCGTGAGAGTTAAAATCTCCTAAGATCAACCGAGGCTCAGATAAAACTGAGCAGATATCTGAGAGACCTTGGCGAGAAATCGCAGTTCTCGGAGGAAAATATACTGAGGCAATACTGAGGCTTTTACCTCGAATATTTACCTGACACGCGACAACTTCAATGCCTGTCACGGAAGGCAGATCGATTCTATAAAAGGAATGGAGCTTATTAATCCCTAGAAGCACCCCTCCATACGAATCTGCTCGATCAAGGCGAATAATGTTAAAATCGTGGAAAGGGAGATCGGTGTCTGAAGAAAGCCATGTTTCACAAAGAGCAAATGCGTCACAAAGTGAGTTGTGAACTAAAAATTTGAATGCGTCAAGTTTCGGTAAAAGACTTCTGCAGTTCCACTGAAGAAGAGAGATCATATCTCCGACCTCATTCGGAAAATTATCCATCAAAAGATATGATCGATGCAAGGAAGGACCACCTAGAAGCTAGTTGCTTCAAAAGAGTTTTCACAAATGGAAGCACTAAATTAATAATGTTCCTAGTTGAGTCAGAGACGTTGAATATATTGAAGATGCTCTCCACAATTCCAGAAAACGTGAACATGGCATCATGTTCTTGCTGGTTATTTAGCTGATTTTCTGGCTGAAAAACTGGGATATCTGGGGTTTTAGATGATCCCGGAAGTGGCGGAAAGTCTTTGTTAAAATTACAAACTTGAAATCCCGGTGGTGGGGGTTTTGCTACATTTCCGCTACCTCTTAAATTTGTCAAGGTAGGTTGAGAGTCCGTACGAGAGGCCTTACGAGGTTTTTGGGTGACGTTTGTTTTGGACCGCTTCCTCGTGTTGCCGTTAAAGACAAAAGGACTACTCTCACCAACCTCTGAGTCAGAGCCCTGATCATCATCTGGCAGGAGGTGGAATGTGTTGTTGCTTTTTGGGGTGGTTTGGGAAGATGAAGCGGTCGTTTTCAAAATTTCTGCTAACGAGCGCTTAGAGCGAGCTTGCAAGGACCGCTTTAGTTTTTCTCCCTGCTGTTTGTACTTCGGGCAATCACTCAGAGCATGCGGAACATCCTTACAGTAAACGCATATTGGTGTAGCATGACAAGGACCCTCCGTATGCTCCTCCCCACATTGATCGCACCGCGGTTTGTTGGAACAAAAGTCCGCGGTGTGACCTAGTTGTTTGCATTTCAAGCAATTCATTACCCTCGGTACAAACAAGCGTACAGGTAGTCGAACCTTCCCAATTGTGACGTAGTCAGGTAATGCCGATCCTGAAAAGGTCACACGAAACGAATCTGAGAGGGTATACTTTTTGTTTGTGCCTATGTGCGACACTGACTGCAGTTGAATGCAGTCCAGTATCTTGACTTTCGGAAGGGCACGGTTTTTGAAAATGCCGAAAGATTCGACTTGCAGGAAATCCT